CTTTGCTGCGGCGACCCTGCTGCTGCTGCTGCTGCTGCTGCTGCTGCTGCTGCTGCTGCTGCTGCTGCTGCTGCTGCTGCTGCTGCTGCTGCTGCTGGTGCAGGTTCATCGAAGAGGAGCACCGGCGGTGCGTGTCTTTGGTGGGGCAGCGCAGCATTTGCTGCTGCAGCTACGAAAGTCGTTTGCGGCGAATTTTAATTTCTTTGAAAAACGAAAAAGCAAAAACTTCTCTCAAAGTTGCTCTCGTCTTCGAAAGGGCTTTTCCCCTCCAAAGGCCAAAGCTCCTCATCCTCGACCACTCCGAAAGCGGTGCGCTGCTGCTGCTGCTGCAGTGCTGCTGCTGCTGCTGCAGTGCTGCTGCTGCTGCTGCAGTGCTGCTGCTGCAGTGCTGCTGTTGCAGTGCTGCTGCTGCTGCTGCAGTGCTGCTGCTGCAGTGCTGCTGCTGCAGTGCTGCTGCTGCAGTGCTGCTGCTGCAGTGCTGCTGCTGCAGTGCTGCTGCTGCTGCTTCTGCTGCTGCAGTGCTGCTGCTGCAGTGCTGCTGCTGCAGTGCTGCTGCTGCTGCTGCAGTGCTGCTGCTGCAGTGCTGCAGTGCTGCTGCTGCAGTGCTGCTGCTGCTGCTGCAGTGCTGTGGCAGTGCTGCTGCAATGCTGTCGCAATGCTGCTGCAATGCTGCTGCAATGCTGCTGCTGGTGCTGTCGCAATGCTGCTGCTGCTGCAGTGTTGCTGCTGCTGGAGTGCTGCTGCTGCAATGCTGCTGCTGCTGCTGCGCTTGCTGCAGCAGCTTTGCGTGCGCTTTTGCTTCTGCGTTTGCTTTCCACTTTGCCACTTCCCCTTTTATTTCCATTCTTCCATTCCATTTATTCTAATTATTATTATTATTATTATTATTATTATTTTAATTATTATTATTATTATTATTATTATTATTCTTATTCTTATTGTTATAATTATTATTATTAATATTATCATTATTATTATTATTATTATTATTATTATTATTATTATTATTATTATTCTAATTATTATTCTAATTATTATTCTAATTATTATTCTAATTATTATTATTATTATTATTATTATTATTATTATTATTCTAATTATTATTATTATTATTATTATTATTATTATTATTATTATTATTATTATTATTATTATTATTATTAATTATTTATTATTATTATTATTATTTTTACTATTATTAATCTAATTATTATTATTATTATTATTCTAACAATAATAATAATAATTATTATTATTATTGTTATTGTTGCGTCTGCTGCTGCAGGAGTGCCGAAGGGGCGGCTGAGCGGGTGGTGCGTGTGTGCTGCTGCGCACATGGGGCGGACTTGTGCTGCAGCAGGAGTGGATTTGCTGGCAGCAAATTTGTTTTGCTTCTTCCAAAAGCCCGAAGAGTGTCCCATTTGTCTTTCTTTGCTGCACCCGCAGCAAAGGACTTTGCCCAACAAAAAGTGCCGCACTTGCCGCTACAAGTTCCACTCCGAGTGCATCTACAGGTGGTTCAGAGTCTCCAGAAAGGCCAAGTGCCCTCTTTGCCAGTCCCCCTTCTAGGTCTGCTGCTGCTGCTGCTGCTGCTGCAGCAGCAGCAGCAGCAGCAGCAGCAGCAGCAGCAGCAGACGCTGCTGCTGGTGGTGGGGGTGGGGGGCAAGTTCCACTCCGAGTGCATCTACAGGTGGTTCAGAGTCTCCAGAAAGGCCAAGTGTCCTCTTACGGTCAGGGGGAAGAAGGTCTGCTGCTGCAGCAGCTGGTGGTGGGGGTGGGGGGCAAGTTCCACTCCGAGTGCATCTACAGGTGGTTCAGAGTCTCCAGAAAGGCCAAGTGTCCAGACACGGTCAGAGGGAAAATCTTCAGAAGCTGCTGCTGCTGCTGCTGCTGCTGCAGCAGCAGCAGCAGCAGCAGCAGCAGCAGCAGCAGACGCTGCTGCAGCTGGTGGTGGTGGTGGGGGGCAAGTTCCACTCCGAGTGCATCTACAG